TAAAGTCAAAATCCTCTCCATTTGAGGAGTGACACTTGGCAAGTTCAAATCCTCTCCATCAAGAGCTTGACCCATGGCTCAATATGATCCCTTTGATTTGCAAGACATTAATCTTGCTTTATCAGTATACTTTGGCTCTGAGTTTAACTTCTTTTCTATAATTATAGTAGCTTGGCCTCTGTAATTATTTTCTGTCAGATCCTTAATTTAATCTCCTTATTTTTATCTTCCCAAATTGTCCTCTTTGCCTCAAAATTAATTTCCTAACAATTAATTTCCTTCTCTTTAGGGATTTTTCCACTTTTCATTATTATTTGGAAAATCTTGGATACTTGAGGGTCTTCATTTAATTCCATAATTCCTTGGGGTCTCATAGGAATTTTCTTGGAATTTTATTCCCCTTAAAAATATTTATTTGGAATTTTCCAAATAAAATCCCTTAATTAGCCTAAATCACCCTTAAATTCTCTTATAAATTATCTAAGGGTAATTTGGTCATAAAACTAACTTTATAATTTCATATAACTCTCAAAGGATATTATCCTCATTTTTCCTTAATTTTCCAAGGCTTGGAAATTACTGAGATTATCTTCCACCAAAATTCTCCTTATTATTTTTAATCCTCAATAATTTGAGAATATTTCTTATTTCTACTTATCATAATGGTGGATGTGACAGTTCCAAAATTAGTATTCTTAGTTCTCATGTTGTGTAATCCCTGGGTTTTCAATCTTGGCACTAATTCTCAAGTGTCCTACAATAAGAAGCAACAATTTGAAATATTAATTGTTCTAGAAATCAACTAAAAATATAATTAATAACCAAATATGATAATTTTATCCTCAAAAGGATGCTAACTCAAAGCAAGGACTCTGAATCTAAATCAAACACAATTATCATAAAAAGTGCCATTAAGTATAATAACAGCCTTGAAAATGATATAAAATAACATAAAAGAATTGGGCTTAATCAATTTTCCCACACTTAAACTTTTATACTCTTAGACAAAGGCATTGATACAAATGGGAATCTATATGAATTCAAAGTAAGAAAGCAGTAGTGCCATGAACCCAACTCTCAGTACATGTTTGAATTTAAATCACAGTTAGTTGTCGGACTGATGTTTCAAATACCAATTAAAGGAGGATTTAATTGGGGTATCAAGTTAGAAATTCCCAAAAATTCTCAGAAAATCATGAAAAATAGAAATAAAGGTCAATGAATAGTATTTGAGGTCCCAGAAGAATTATTGGAAGGAAAATAAATAAATATAGAATTTTCTATATTTACAAGAATTTTTTGTTACATCGAGTAATAGTAACCAAAAATTAATTATGAAAAATATTTAGAGGCCTTAATAATTCTAAAAAAAAAATATGAAAAATTACCTTGGAGGATTATAATAATTTATAAAATTATTCTGCATTTCAATTGATGACGAGGTTAGCTTTAATAATATTTAAAGCATATTTATCATTGGTAAAGTGCTGATTTTGGAAAAAATATAGAATTTAGAGAATTCCTGAGGGAATTAAATTTAAGAAAAATCATAAAACTTTCCTACACTAAGAGAAGGGTAACAGTGCACCGAGATGAATTTTTTGAGATAGTAAAATTAACAGGATATAGAAAAAATTCATCCAGTACTATACCAACACTTAGTGTAATGTAAGGACAACCTGGGAAGTGAAAAATTTTACAAAATTTCTGAGCCCATTAGGCCCATAATTCATGCCTAATAAGGCCCAAAAGTGGAAAATATTTAATAGAAAATGAAAGGAAAATAGAGTTTCTAGAAGGCAATTAAGAAAAAGTTAATCTTGGATTAAGAAAATTAACCAAGGTTAAGGTATGATAATCTTAGTATGACATAAGCAAGATGGCATCACATGGACAAGTGGCAAGACCATAAGCTTCCTAACTTATGATTTATCCATGTGTAAAGTCATAAAAATCAATGGCTAAGATCCTTCCATCTATACCTTGTAATTTCTTCCAATTTCAAGAGTTAAGAGTTAATTGAAACACTATAAATACCCCTCCTTCCCCTCACATTTCAGCCAAGAAGAGAAACATAAGGGAGATTTTTTGCTCGAGTTTTAAAAGAGAGAACAAGTAATTCAAGAGAGAGAAAGTCCACCTAAGTTTAAGGAATCACTAAGGTAAGCTTGGAAGGAAGCTTGAAAGGAATCATTAAAGTCCACCAAGATTTAATTTAATGGTTCCAATGTGTTTAAATGATGAAATGGTGTAGGGAAGCACTAAGAAAGGAAGCTTGGAATCATTAAAATTGAAAATGAAAATTTTGATTTCCAATGGTATACTATTCGGCCAAAATGAGATCTTTAGGGAGAAATTGGATATTCATCAATCTAAGTGGATATTTGAATTCTACATGAAAAATTATGTAGGAATGTTTCAAAGGATTTAAAGAATCAAAGTTGTAAGTAATAACCCAAAAATTTAAATAAAAAAAAGGGATTAAGGGTTATTTATATAATACCTTGGATGAAATAATAATTGGTGATACCCTATTATGTTATCAATAGGCCTAGCATCAAAAGAAAAGAGGTATTGCTTAAAAGGAAGAGCTTGAAGGAAACGAACAGCTTGAAAGAAGTAGCTAGCATTTACTTTCTAAATATTACATTGCATTGTATTTATTGCTACATGTTATGCTATGTTGCTATGCCATAAGGTGGATGAATTATGATGTTATGTGAAGTATAACTCAATGCATGTAATGCCTTGACTTATACAATGTTGAGTGTAATGAATGAGAAGTATGTTAACATGGAATGTGTATTAAGTGAAAGTACGTGTAGCTAAATTCATGTGGCATAAAATGCTTTGTTTGTGTGATATTGTAAATGTGATACTGTGCTACTAAGATTCCTATAAATCTTACCCTATGTTCAACAAAAACCTAGGATCTTTATCATCACAAGGAAAGGGCAAGGAAGTGACCATTGCATGTGGAATTAAGGAATGAATTATGGCTTTAAACCTCTCTTTCTTTTTATGGAAGAATGTAAATTAATATATTGCAGATGACTTTATGTGACCACTTTATGCAATTACATGTGAAAGTACATTGTTGAAATCAATTATGTGGTTGATTGATTAGTATGCCAAGCTAGAGATTTATTTATGGATTGATAGCTAGGGATAAAATTTAACCGTTTGAGAGGAAACTTTGACCAATGAGAATCTAAGCAATTGATTGAGATAAATCACAAAACTTTCTAGATCAAAAGATATTATTTTTCTCTTTAAAATGAGTGGTGATATGTCTTGCATGAATAATCATGCAAAAAGTTATGTCTGTCCAAAGTTAGACAAAAATACTGAAAAATTAGAAAATGACCAAATAAATAGTACTTTTTGAAATTAAAACTGGGTTTGAATTTGAAAATAATTCATCTAGAACTTATTTTTACTCAAAATGTAATGCAAATGGCTTCCAATAAAACTTGGAATAACTCAATTTTAATTTTTTTTTTTAGAGTTAGTTATGAATTTTTAAAGTTTGGCCAAATTATGGGTTGCTATGAATAGTAACCCGAGAACAAAATTTTTCAAAGTCCAAATTTTTAAATTTTTAGCCATCAAATGTGATTTCATTTACTTCTAATTGGTTGGTTGTTTGGTGAAAAGTTAAGGTGTTACATTTTTGGTAATAGAGAAAAGTTCTAGCATTGGTTAGAAAGCTCTGATTTGAGGAAAAATACTAATGTTCATTCAATGGATAGTTTTTGTCATTATTGCATAAGGAAGTAGATGTGGTACATAGTGGACATAATAATGATTTAGAGGTCATTGAGATATCGAGAGGATACCCCTTTGGCTAAGAATAGGCACTAGCCTTTTTTGGAGATCTTTGTAAGGGAAACCTTTTTGGATTTATGCCAGGGAGATCCACATCGGAAGCAATCTATTTACTAAGGGGGTTAATGGAGAGATATAGAAGTAAAAGAAGAGATTTACATATGGTTTTTATTGACTTGGAAAAGGCTTATGATCGTGTGCTAAGAGAAGTATTGTGGAAGGCTTTGGAAAAGAAAGGTGTACAGGTTGCGTATATCAAAGTCATACAAGATATGTATGAGACGGTAACTACCAGTGTAAGGACGCCTGGAGGGGAGACAAAGGACTTCCCTATTAAGATTGGCCTACATCAGGGATCCTCTCTGAGTCCGTACTTGTTCAACATTGTTCTGGATGTTCTAACTGAACCTGTTCAAGAAAGAATCCCTAAGTCCATGCTCTTCGCGGATGATATAGTTCTTATGGCGGAATCAAAAGAAGAGATTAACACTAGTTTGGAGTTATAGAGAAGGACTTTGGAGTCGAAAGGTTTCCGTTTGAGCAGGAACAAAATAGAATATATGCATTGTGATTTTGGAGGGAGGCAAGGTAATAGGGATTTGGAGGTGAGGATGGGAGAGCAAATTATTCCTCAAGTATCAAAGTTTAAATACCTAGGATCCATTATACAGGAGGATGGGGAAATTGATGGAGACATTTCTCATAGAATACAAGCTGGCTGGTTAAAGTGGAGGAAAGCTACCGAAGTTATTTGCGATAAGAAGGTACCTGAGAAACTTAAAGGAAAATTTTATCGGACTGCTATAAGACCAGCTATGATGTATGGTAGTGAATGTTGGGCAATAAAGGGAAAACAAGAGCACAAAGTCGGAGTAGCAGAAATGAGGATGTTGAGATGGATGTGTGGTCATACAAGAAAAGATAGGATTCGAAATGAAAAGATCAGGACAAGAGTCGGTGTGGCACCTATCCAAGAGAAAATGGTTGAAAATCGCTTAAGATGGTTTGGACATGTGCAGAGAAGGCCTTTGGAGGCCTCGGTGAGGAGGGTGGATCAAACAAGATGGAGTCCCATAAAAAGAGGCAGGGGAAGACCGAGAAGAACGCTGAATGAGGTCATTGAATGAGACCTCCTAATCAACAACATATCTAAGGATTGGGTTGTTGACAGCACGATGGCGTTGTGTGATTCATATAGCCGACCCCACCTAGTGGGATAAGGCTTGTTGTTGTTGTTGTTGTTTGTAAGGGAAACCTTTCCCTGAGTTAGATGTACTCTAACCTTAGTGATGCATAGTACTAGATCTTTTAGATTGTAAATACGTGACTGGTTATAACCTATACAACCCTTCTTGCTGTTGTATAAAGTATGGATATATGTATAAAGTGAGTCATGATTTTTTATGGTTATTGTAATTGTCATTTGTTATATTGTTGTTGTTAATTTCTTAACAAAACTTGTAATTATGCATGCAGTATTGACAAATTCTTGGAACTATCACAACAAAAGTATTTTTTATCAAGTAGCTAGATAATGTGGATAGTACTATTTGTGATGAAAATAGGGGTGACTATGTAAGAGAAGGTGGTGGGGGATCTCATGTAAGGCTAGCAAGTACAGTAGAGATTGCGCCAACACTCATGCACGAGATGAATGCTATGAAGTGGAAGGAATTATTCTTGGGAAAGAAGCAAACTTTTGCAAATGCTACAGCTTTCAAAGAGGCACTATATAAGTTTAGTATTGCAGAAAAGTTCATGTATAAATATGTCAGAAATACTCAGGACAATGTGTATGTTAAATACAAGGTTGAAGGTTGACCTTGGCGGATAATAGGAAGAATAGCTACCAGGAGAAGTCCTTTTTTTACATGTAATAAGGCTGGTCCATGCAAATGAGTATGATTTTGTGGAGGACTGCTATAAAATAACATCCTAAGAGGAGATTTATGGTGACATCATAATTCTAATAGTGATAATTGACAAGCCAAATCCTAATGATTATATTTTGGAAATCATAATAGATCAAGCATTGTTATTTCCACCTAGAACTAGTAGACCTTCGGGAAGGCCAAGCACTACTAGGCGGGAATCCCAATTTCAAAACAGGAAGATTTACCACTGTGGACAATGCCCCGAAGCTGGGCATAGGAAAAGAATATGCAAAAGTCCAAACCCAAGTTAAACTGGATGGTCTGCATATGTGGGTTTATTTTGTAAAGGTTAATTTTTATTCTACATGTAAATATTTTGCAACTTTTCATATTTTTTTGGATGAAGGGTTATGCCATATGGTAATTCCATATTTTAGGTCAGACATAGTCAGTGAAATGTGTATTTTGATGTTAGTGACAAGAAAACATTAAGTGGAGATGGAATGTTAATATTAACTTGTCATTGATTGTATGTACTGTCACCAAGGATCTGGTTTTAGGAAATTACCATTACTGAAGTTGTTATTTGCTTTAATGCAAGTTGTTAACTATAAGAGAAGCTACAAGATAAGAGTCCAGTTATTATTCATGTTTGATGTTCTTACCTTATATTTTAAGTATGACCTTTTATGAAATGAGTTTAGAAAATTGCCATTAATGATTATTTCTCTTTACGAGAGTTGTTAAAACTTATACTGGACTTGTTAACGCTTATGCTAACGTTGTTAACTGTTTTACTGAAGTTGTAATAGTGGCCATTTTAATCTTACTTGGAAATCCTATTGTTAATAGTTATACCCAAGCTGTTAATATATATAACAAACTTGTTAATCTAGTTACTGGAGTTGTAGAATTTCCTGTGGATGATTAAACAGGACATCCCTCCAAGGTGTACGCAGGTCTGAAAATAGGTGGTTAACGACTATATCAAAGTTGTTAAATACTTAGACTAAAATTGTTAACTGCTCTACTGAAATTGTAAAAATGGGTTTTTTTTTATCTTTCTTGAAAATGCTGTTGTTACCACTTATACTAAAAATGTTAATATATATATATATATAAGAACTTGTTAATCTGCTTACTGGAGTTGTAAAATTGCCTGTGGATGATTACACAAGCCATCCCTCCAAGATGTAAGCAGGTGTGAAAATAGGTGGTTAACGGCTATACTCAAGTTATTAAATACTTAGACCGAAGTTATTAACCACTTTACTGAAATTGTAAAAATGGGTTTTTTTTTATATTTCTTGAAAATGCTGTTGTTACCACTTATACTGAAGTTGTTAACATATATATAGAACTTGTTAATCCGCTTACTGGAATTGTAAAATTCAACACTACTAATGTCTCAAATGGTAAAAACCTGTTGCTAATAGCATACAATTATTAATATTGAAATGAGTCCTTCTGCCATGTACATAAATTGAAGCAAAGTTAAATAAGATGCAACTACATCAGATTGTCACATAGACATGCACAATAAACCTCTTAATAAGAACAATGGTGGTTGTTTGCTGTGCTAAAAGAAGAGTCAAGGCTTCTTCTTGACTTGAATTCAGTGAATGATTAACTAGCCACCACATTTGATCATGCCTAAATTTAGCTACATGGTTCTACATATAAGACAAGTGCACAAGCATAATTACAAGTTTTGTTAAGAAATTAACAACAACAATATAACAAATAACAACTATAATAACCATCAAAAATTGTGACTCACATTTATGGATCATCCATTAATTTTGGTGTACCCTCCTTTGATGCTATATACATATGTGCACTACAATTATCGTACTGAAAAAGATTATCAACTTAACTTCACTATCATCAACCAAATCTACTAATGCCTTATCATCAAAGCTCATTGTATGTTTCTTGTCACAACTATTAACATCTATATCAAACCATTTCAATATCATTGACCTCAAGTCTTCATGCTTTATCCCTTATTTTATCATTTTAACTTTCACACTCCCATCGTTGTATTTTATTTCACCTTCAATATTGTTAACAAAGTTTCCACTAATATGAAAAATCAAAGCAAGTACCTTTGATGATATTGACCCAATATTATATGTCATTTTGCATTTGCAGGGAGAAATTTTATCACAATGTAATTTCTCTAGCAAAGATATTTCATAAACCCAACACAGCCACTTCCAGCATTAACAACTTCAATATATCATTTCACAACTCCACTTTATCTATTAACAAACACTTCACAATATCATTAATGTTAATATTCAACCTTCCTATCTACGTGATCATCACAGAGCTTCTTCAAATTTCCCTAAACTACTATCTGCTATCCCCACAAACAGATCATTCTAAACACTATCCCATACTAACTCTATCCCTCACTAACTAACTCGTACGTTGCAATATCTAACCATTCGCATAAGTTAAAAACAACAATACCCCAAGATGAATCGGATTACGTATTATTGCACCATCATCTCCCTTTTAAGCTGAAAAAATTAGCTTGCCCAAAACCCTAACCTTATCCAATACTAACCAACTCAATATGTTCAAATTTCTGACCATCCCCATACCTAAAAAAGGAAGAACTAACACCCCAATATGAACAATGTACGCCTTACATAATGTCGCACCTCATCTCCTCTAAACCTTCGATTTATGCAGAATCGAGAACCACCAAAATGAAAAAAATAGCCCACCACAATGATGCTAGGAGGATGAAAAGAGTCCTGATTTCAAAAAATACTTGCACTTTCAAACCACCACCTTCTCCTCACTTTGGAGCCTCAACTATCACACGTTTTCTCTCTTTCCCTTCTCGATGCGGATTAATGTGGTGCCCGCATTTTGTGTTTTATGAGGGCAATTTGGTCATTGCATTTAACATAAAAATCCCAATTTGGTCTAAAATGATCAAAACGAGATTTCCCTTATTCAGATGATGTTTTTGGGATTATAAAGTTTACCTGTCATTTTTGTCATTTTCCCAATAATATTTATAAGTTGTAGGGTTAATTTTATTCTATAACTATGAAAATGTAAAAGAAAATTTCAATTTAATTTATAGGAATTTATAATTTAATTTGAAAATTTTAAAAAAATTGACAATATTAAAAAAGAATTTGAAAATATCTTGGATTGACAAAATTTAACTTGCCATCCACTATGCTCATTAATCAGCTGATAATTTGTATATTCTCTCATTTATCTTTTATGTAATTTAGATTTGATATGGTTGGCAAAATTTATTTAGTTTTGATATGATTAGAGGTCTAGAGTTTAAATTTCAGATGTTTGATTCTAACAGCCCTATATTTTACTCAATATGTACACAACGATATCCTCGATCATGAGACAAGCAAGTTCTTTCTGTCTTTTTTTTTTTTTAATGGGGTCAACCTCGGGACAAATTTATTTGATAAGAGTTTAGTACTCATCCAGAGCTATTAGAGATTAAATTCGTTGTCCAACCCTATATGTGCAGCTATGTGAAATGGTTGTGTTTTTCCTGTCGCTTGCGGGTTCATGTCTTGATGCCTGTGGTATTTTCAATCAATAATCTAGTGCGGTTGTCACATTGTAAATGGTTGTCAATGGCTGTGGTTGCACAGCATGCTTTATAAATTTGCTGTTCTCTAAATTAGGACTTAACCTCAAAGAAAGGTCAAATTCAAACCTCATAAATTGGGGGGGGGGGGGGATACAGTAGAAGAGCCATTCTTGATTGGTATTCTCGAAATCTAACTTGGTAACACCAACCCAGAGAGAGAGAGAACGGGAGGGAAAAAGAAGCTTTAAGAAGCATAATATGTACAGTAGATTGGGCATAGCAGAACTCGGCATTATAATATGCTTCCTTCCTACAAAAGTGAACACAGATTTTCGCAACATCTACACTAGGATTATGTGAGGGAAAAATTGAGCCTGCACTAGGCACATTATTTTCAGGAATTTTTATGAATTCTTCAAGGCTAATAAAGCATCCTTTGTTGTTGCTGAGATAACAGCATCCGAAGCATTTGGCAAATAATAATACTTCCCTGCAGTAATAAGAATTTGATAAATGTCACTGTTTTCCTTGAATCAGTGTAACTTGACAGGTATATAAAGGCAAAACCCTTTTTTGATTCTCAAAAGATAGTATCATCAATAGTTCGATGCTTCACAATCTTTTTGCTTCAATATGACAAAACCCTTTATGATTTGGTCCCAACTATGGAGATTTCTCCTAATCTCAAATAATATAGTTTAAAAAAAAAATTCTAACCAATGTGATATCCAATTGACAATGGCAGCATATTTCAAGAATGAACAGATATTTTGTTTCAAACGATGTTTTATTACACAAACCTTGTGCTACTCTCGCAATCTCCTTGGCAAAACCTGTTGAGACAAACTTATTTTCTGTGTCGATGACTAGCAGTGACATTCCAGCTTTATATATCTTACCAGCCACCTCAAGGATTTCATCCTTCAATGAAGCAAACAATCAGTTCACAATGAAGATATGATTTAGACCTAAAGAGGTACACAGATTTCAGAATAAGCTACAGATTGGATAGTTTAAGAGTTCATTGAACATTTTACATATAAAATTATGCACAGAAATATCGCAAAATGTTTGGTTTTATAAGAATCAAGGAAACAGGAAATAGTCCAACGATTTACGTCAAACTAGTTGTTCATCCTCTATTGAGTATATGGGACAACTGGGGGTTGACACGATTAATGTGATTCCAATAATCGGAAAGGGAAATAGCAGTCTTAAACCTGCATAGTGAGCAGAATAAAATGATTGCTTAAAACATTTTAGATGTCAGTAAATTTCCCTCGGGAAAATAAATTTAAAAAGATTCTAGATATACAATGACAGTTGGGAAGCCTAAAGGACTTGCCATTGGCTACAAGTATCCAATTATAGAGGTGAACAGTACCTTCAATTCCTGAGCTGAAGGTCTAGGAGCATCAGCATCAGAAGCTTCAGGGTTAGTTGACCTTTTTAATGATATATTGGCTCTACCATCAGTTATCGCAACAATCATCACACGTCCAACGTCACCACTTTTCTCTGCATTTAAACCGACCCGGACAGCCTGATTTAGTTATTAAACATAGTTAGCTTAAGAATTTCAATTAACCATTATGATAAACTCTACATCCAGATATCATTTAGAGGCAATAGTCCATATCCGACAAAGCACACAAATGTAAGGTGGGCAGGTATTAAATTCAAAAAACATTATACTCTACAAAACACTACGTGACCAAAAATGAAACTTCCAACTCCTTTCTCTTCTACAAAAGACACGGCCATTCTTTCACATAGCTGCAAAAGTTTTCCATTACAGGCTCATTTGGAATAGCTTATAAGTAGCTTCTCAATTGTAATTTACGTAATACGAGGTAAATATATGACAAGAGTTGTCTCACCTTACGTGAAACATGCTTATAAATGATTTCAATCGTGATGGCAAATAGGGCCACAATGCAATTAGAAGCTGTTAACATTACTGACAAACAGTTTTAGATTGAAACACATAAGTTCAACTCCTTGTCTTTAAAATAGATGACTGTTCTAAGAAAGAGAAACAATCTGCTTACCGTGGTAAGACCATGAGCCAGGGGTGACCCTCCACCACAAGGAAGTCTCTCAAGACGTTTCCTTGCCATTGCAATTGATCTAGAAGGAGGCAGAAGAACTTCTGCAGAGTCCCCCCGGAAGGGAATAATAGACACCTGCTCAACATTACCAGTAATTATTGAAAGTGAAATTATTATTTCATCATAAGGGATTACCTACAATCAGAAACATTACATTTTTATTTGCGATATGGCACATCATCAATTGAGCCCTTGTGAATATAAATACATTATTAAGAAAACCAATTCTCATCCACAAAGGGCGCAAAAAAACCAAAAGCCAAAATAGAAGAAAACCCCATTCTCTTTTCTCAGAAAAATTCAGGTAATAAAAATTTGCCATTGTACATGCTCTGGTTGTAAATAAAGATGGCTATGCAACCCCTGAAGATTATCAAGTACCTAGGTTTACAAATCTGACCAAGAAATGAATAATTATACATTCTTGAGATCTCATTATAACAGAAATAAAGTGGAATCAGCTCAACATTATTTGGCCTACTTGCACCTGTCCATGAGTCACTCACTAATTTTGTTATCCAAATTATAGAACATACAAATTACCTTGTATATCACATGAGTTGATAACTAATTTCTCATTATTGCCGTCACTATTTCAATCTAACAGAGTTAGGTAGGAGCCTATGAATCGCAGCAGAAGGATTTTAGGCTTGAAAAATGGGCAAAGCGAGGCCCAAACTACCTTGTGCTAAGAATTCTTCACTACTTGATCATACAAGTTTAGATTCTATTCAACTTCGATTTATACTTATTAAGGATCATAAACAAATTTCTTATAATCTGATAGCTGTCACTATATCCTTCATGTTATCTTCGTTCTCTTAAGGCATTCATGATGTTATGTAGCTCTCCAACTATAGGGCAGCTTAGTTCCCCCTTGGTCCTAGAGATCCCTTGCTGCAACTAAATTCCTTAACATGTATAATGAACTATAACTAGTATTGAGAAATGAGACAACCAGAAACCAGTATTCAATTGTAAATTCCAGAAAGGGGTAGGGGTGGGCGTCAGGGGGGCGGGGGCAATTTCTATAGCATTTTAACTAGAATAGAACAGTTCCATAGACTCGTCAAACATCTCCCAGAAGAAACCAAAAGGGTGGACAGGCAAATACAAATGCTCCCACAATATGAGGCGTAAATTTCACAAGGCATATATTGTTATATAATCATAAATATTGGGCTAGAGTGATATTACTAACTCTATGAGCCACAGGGATTTATTAAATAAAGTCTTACTAAGTCCATAAGGCCTCAAGGTTAGTTAGGTAATTAGCCTTAGGATTAGTTAGTTAGTACATTACATGGCTGGCACCTATATATATTAGTCAGAAAGCTTAATGTTGTTATTGACTAATGATTGATGAATGATATCTAGGAAATTCTTCTCTCTCCCATGTCCGCGACTCTACATTGTCCCTTCTCTCTTCTCCTACTCCCTTCCTCTATTCTCTAAGACATCTACAGCATTGTATCTGTGGTATCTAGAGCCAGTTTTTCCTTGGCTCTTATGCCCACAATCGGTTCACAGTCCAGCGGTTTGAAGATGTCCAAAGCTTCGAATGATCGCTTGCAAGCCATTGAGGTAGAATTACAAGAACTACGTTAATTAAAGGTTTTACACGGTGCCGTTAAAGCTTTGACGACTCAACCTGCCAACCTCCAGCAAGATTGTGAATCTAGTACGCAACAAGGGTAGACATGAGGATCATCCTCACTATGAATGCCCAAGAACAGGTGACCAAGACTATCACCCACCCACGCGATTCACCAAAATGGATTTTCCCCATCTTCAACACAGCGATGTCATCAAGTGGTTTGCCAAATATGAGTGTTGCTTCCAACTTGATGAAACTCCAGAAGAATGGAAGGTTACCATTGCTAGCTTGCACTTGGACAACAAAGCCTATGTATGGCACTTGACGATGGAAGAAGGCTTCGAGAGTGAGCTATTGACTTGGCCAGAGTATCATGTCGTGATCAAGAAATGCTTCAGTGCAGTCTCTGAAGAACTTATGGCCAAATTAAAACGTTTAAAACAAATGAGCTCCTTGGACGACTACAACAACGCCTTCGATAACTTTTTCTACAAGCTACAGCTTCCAGTGACATGTGATTTAAGCCTTTGTTGAAGGTCTGCGACTCGACAGGTGAGAATCTTGCAACCCCAGACCATAGCTGAAGCATGAAGTAAAGCGAAGATACACAAGGTGAATTTACGCCACAACACAGAGTGGAAGCCAGCTTCCAAGAAGCCTTCTTGGGATGTGGCTGCATCAGGGGACAGGTAGTGGTCCTCGAAAGCTTCCTCTTTTATTAATGGGTCACTCTCTAATGGGCCCATGATTACTCCTTCAGCCCAAAACCATCCTGCAGTGTTCACAAAGGAGTACATCTCGAAACAAACTCAACACTCACAGAAAATGACCCCTGAAGAGGTCGACAAACATTGTGCTCAAGGTCTCTATTTTTATTGTCACCAAAAATTTACAAAAAGACATAATTGTCCCCAAAGGCAGAAACTTGAGCTACATTTGATGGAACTGGAACCTGATGGAGAAGAAGGCGTTGCTGAAGAAGAGATTGTGGGAACTTCAGAAGAAGACTCTAAGTGTTTGCAGATTTTTCTACATGCCATTCAAGGCACTGAGAGTCTTTCTGCCATGAGACTGCAAGGTTAAGTGGGTAAGCGTCCTATTTAGATCTTAATCGATGATAGAGCAACTCACGATTATCCTGACTTGCAACTAGCCAGGAAACTGGGATGGAAGGGTGGTCTAACCTTTATAGCAAAAGTTGGTGTAGCTGGAAGGAGTAGGTTGAAGGTTTATGGTTAGTGGAGAAACTTCAAATGGAGTATGAAACGTAAGGAATTTGAACAGGATCTAAGGATAATGGGCATTAAAACATATGACATTGTTCTAGGGATCAAATGGTTGAAGGGGATAGTTCATCATGCTTCATGGGACTATGACAACATGGCTATGACCTTTTGGTACAAGGATGACTTGTGTACCCTACAACCCACTTGTCAAGAAAATTGTCAATTGGGTGAATACATTAGACAACTAATTAGAAGAAGACAGCCAGCTCCTCCTATTGCAAGCTTTTGAAGGAGGAGGGGATCAAGTCTTAAAATTGCTGCATGATGAGAAGAATGATGCCAGGAATGGTGTGAGACAGTTATTAAAGGAGTTTAGGGATGTGTTTCCTGAACCTAAACCACTTCCACCATTAAGGGAAGGTCATAACCACCTTATGATTTTACAAGAAGGGTCTAACCCAGTTAATCTAAGGTCGTATTAGTACCTGGCTATCCAAAAAGACAAAATAGAAAGGCAAGTAAATGAGCTTCTGAAAAATGGAGTTATTTAAGAAAGTGCTTCTCCATTTGCCTCTCCAATATTCCTAGTAAAGAAGAAAGATGGCTCATAGAGAATGTGCATTGATTTTTGTGAGCTCAATAAGAGAACTGTCAAGAATACATGTCCTACTCCTTTAGTGGAAGAATTGTTGGATGAGCTTAAGGAGGCTAGATGGTATACAAAATTAGATTTGAGAGCAGGGGAACACCAAATTCAAATGGAGCCTAATGACACTTACAACACAGCTTTTAAGACTCATTTTGTTGGAAATTGTGCCCTAGGGACTAATCATTGTGCTATGAACATTGTTGATTTATGAATTTCTTAATTATGTTATTATATTATTTGCATGTTTACTGTGATGACTATCCTTAGATAACTCATGATTTTATCCTAAATGTCCTTGGTCGGTCATCTATATGGGAGCAGAGATGAAATAAGACCAGTATGACTTTGAAGATGTATGAGATATAAATCAAAGTCATAGGCACATGTAAGAGTACAAAGTGTTGGACCGACCCGCTATGAGAGAGCTGCATGGGTTAAGTCATAAACTTCTCTCATATACAAACCATGTCACTATACCATTTGACCTGAGATCATCATCGATTCCTATATGAGAAACGCTCAGTTTTAACCTAGTCAAAAGTCACTTTTGACCGAGTGATCATAAAGACTATGTTCAGGCTTAGTGGTTTTTCATATGGAGGAATGTGAATGGTCAAGATGGAATTTGTCCCTCACATTCGTGGAGAGATATTACTGGGCCCCTCGATGAGTGAGTCTGAGAAATGTATGGCCATACTGTAATGGAAAGGTAGTTCCATTTCTATACTCAGACTACTCAGGGATCGAGAAAGTAACGGTCAGGAATAGAAGGATGACGTTCTCCATGCCTCATACATGACCAAAATGTCGTGTGACAAAAGGGACGTGATATGGTTGTCTGAAAGGTTCATCGTTCATCGATCCTCATATGATTTGGGTAGTCGTGATGTCTTGCTAGAGACCGCTTATGACTGTGAGTCATTATAGTAAATGGCCCACTGCCAACTTCATATGGGCCTATAGGGTCGCACACAAAATAGCCCAACACGAGCTATGATGTCCAGATTCATTGAATCTAAGATATGTCCAGATTTAATGAATAATCTAGGGTGGATGTATATATATATAAATTCACGTATATATATATTATATGATATAAGAGATATTTATAAGATTTGATTTATAAGAATAAATTAAATCTATATCATTTTTTAATTGATAAGGTATAATATCTCAAATTTGATTTATTAGAATAAATCAAATATAATTCCGTCATATACAAACCGTATTTATTTAATTGATTTCTTATCAGATTACGCAATATATGATAATGTATTAATTTCGGAATTAATTTAGGATTAATTCTGAAATCCAATGTCCTTCATAAGACCGATAGCATCTTATATATTTGATATGAGGAGCTAGGGTTTCGTGTGGATGAGTGCAAAAGGTTTGCAAATAGGAAACGGCCAAAAGAGAGACGGTGAGGATGGATTCTCAAAAACCTTAGAAGGACAAGAGGCACTAGCACGTCGTTCGTGATTGAAAGCTGTTCGTGTGGATACCGGTAGAGGAAGCCGATCTGAGTTGTCGACTTCTCACGTTGAAACGGAGAGCATAGGCATCCCGAACGTCGGAATCCCCGAGCCACCAACGATTTGAATACCGCAGGTAGCACCTCTTACCACTTGACTTAAACACAATCGGTAGATCCGGGCAAGAAATTGAAAAATTTTAAAGTTATTTTTCGCTGCGTGTCTTTTAATTCCTTACATGTTTCGGTCACTATATGAATGGCTAGTGATGCCCTTTGGGCTCACCGTAACTTTATAGGCATGAACAGCATTTTCAGAAATTTTTTAAGAAAATTTGTGCTGGTCTTTTTTGATAACATTTTGGTTTACAGTTCCAGCATCTATCTTCAACTCCAACACTTGCGGAAGGTGTCACAAATATTAAGGGAGGACCACTATTTTGTTAAGGAGAACAAATGTACCTTTGCTGCAACTCAAGTGGAGTATTTGGGTGACATTATCAAAGAGGGAGGGGTCTCTACAGACCCTAAGAAGATCAAGGCAGTGCTGTATTGGCCTGAACCACAGTTAGTTAAGCAACTCCAAGCCTTTTTGGGGCTGGCTGGATATTATAGAAGGTTTATTACGGGTTATAGTGAGTTGGTGAGGCCCCTAACCAATTTATTAAAGAAGCACAACTTTAAATAGACACCTGAAACAACTACCACCTTCAAGAAATTAAAGGAAACATTAGTGGCAGCACCTGTTCTTACTCTTCAGATTTTCCAAAGGCTTTTGTAGTGGAAACTGATGCTTGTGGTACATGGATTGGTGCAGTCTTGATGCAAGGAGGACAACCACTTGCATTTTTCAGCAAAGCTTTGGCTCCTAGACACCAAAATCTCTCAATCTATGAAAAGGACTTACTAGCGGCAGTGCAAGCAGTAGAACATTGGCATCAATAACTGGAAGGAAGGCTTTTTGTTATTAGAATGGACCAGCAAAGTTTGAAATATTTGCTGGACCAGAAGTTGAAAACCTCTTTTCAAATGCATTGGGTGTCTAAATTGATGGAGTACAACTATGAGATCCACTATAAGAAGGGGAACAACAATAATGTTGCTGATGCTCTCTCTAGAATGCCTAAGATGGAACTTTTCCAAATTACATTGTCTACCTATTCTGATCAGCTTTTGCAAGATATTAAAGCAAGTTGGGAAGAAGATCCTACTTTAAATAAGGCCGTTATTAACCTCCAACAACAAGGTACAGCGGCCAAATTCTCTTATGAAGGAGAATTATTGAGGAAAAATGGCACTGGTGGTGGGAAATAACACAGCTGTTAAGACTAAAATTCTAGAATGCCTTCACTCAAAACTTATCAAAGGGTCAAGACACTTTTTTGGTGGAAGAATTTGTTTGAAGAGGTCAAGAAATTTATTAAGCATTGTGACACACGCAAGGTGTAAATATGATACAGCAGCCTATCCGAGGTTATTGCAGCCTCTTCCTATTCCTAGCAAGGTTTGGGAGAGTATAACTATGGATTTTATTAAGGGATTGCCAAGATCTAATGGGAAGGATACTATTTGGGCGATGACAGATAGATTAAGCAAGTATGCTGATTTTTTCCCCCCTTATCTCACCCATTTTCAGCTTCAAGTTTGGCTCAACACTTTTTAGATTACGTGTATAGGTTGCATGGTGCTCCTGTTGAGGTTGTTAAGTGACCGTGATCCCTTGTTTGTTAGTAACTTTCGACAAGAGTTCTTAAAAACTTTGGAGTGGACCAAAAGCTTACTTCTTCATACCATCCACAATCTGATGGGCAATCAGAGGTATTAAATAGGTGCTTAGAAACCTATTTGAGATGTATGTGGTGGGAAAAACCAAAGGAACAGAGCAAATGGCTATCTTTGGCTGAATGGTGATACAATACTACTTATCATTCTTCTACTAAAGTAACTCCCTATGAGCTTCTCTATGGAGAAAAACCTCCTTTACATGTGCCTTATTTACCAGGAAGTGCAGCTGTGAGAGCTTTAGACAGGTCTTTTACAGCAAGGGAGGAGGCTTTATTAATTGCCTAACATCATTTGCATCATGCTGTGAACCTTATGAAGCAAAAGGCGGATGCCCACAGAACAGATAAGGAATTTCAAGGGGGGCAGTGGGTTTTCCTAAAGTTACAGTCCTATAAACAGATTTTCCTAGCCTCCAGGAGCTCACGAAAATTGGCCCCAAGATTTTTTGGTCCTTATAGGGTGCTGCAAAGAATTGGTCCTGTGGAGTATATGTTGGAATTACCTCCAAATTCTAGGATACACTCTACTTTTCATCTCTCCCTACTTAAATTGTATGCTCATCCTAATGTGAAACAGCGCCATCCTCCTCTAGACTGGCCAGAACCACCTCCTACTCGTGAGCCAGAAATAATATTGAACAAGAGAATTGGTAGGAAGGGAAGAATTGTTACAGAAGTATTGGTACAGTGGAAGCTAGTAGGGTTCTGCTATATCAACTACAGGCACAGTTTCCCTCTTTCCTGATTCAAGACCCTTGAAGCCAAGGGCAGTTTTTTTTTTTTTTTTTTTTGGGGGGGGGGGGGGGGTTGGATATTGTTATATAATCATAAATATTGGGCTAGGAGTGTTATTACTAACTCTATGAGCCACAGGGATTTGTTAAATAAAGGCTTACTAAGTCCACAAGGCCTTAAGGGTGGTTGGGTAACTAGCCTTAGGATTAGTTAGTTAACAGTCAGATCGCCTAATGTTGTTATTGACTGATGATTAATGAATGATATCCAGGAAATCCTTTTCTCTCTCATGTCTCTGACTCTGGATTCTCCCTTCTCTTTTCTTCTGCTCCCTTCCTCTATTCTCTAAGACTTCTACGGCATTGTATCATATATAATTATAGATATTCCTCAGATACTGAATAAATGGGTGGCCTAATCACCTGATCTCTGCTTGTATAGCTTTCTGCCAGTAACTTAAGTGCGGCACCTTTGGCATTCTGCATCCTGTTCAATGCCATGCTTCCACTTGCGTCAACCACAAATATAACCTGAGATTATTGATATTTCAATTCAAAGACACTGGCATATAAACACAAACAACATAGCTAATAGGAAACATAAAAACAATCTGAATTTTGAAGAATAAATCAAATTTGAGGTTCAATTTGTATTCTGGGCCAACGTCATCAAGTACTAAGAACTCCATCGTTAGGTTGTTAGCTCTGGTTGGATACTGTCATCGTAATACAAATATTATTGTCAAAACTGGTTCCATGGAAAAGAAAATTATATTGACCCAGTTACTCCTAACAATTTGCAGATCAGTGACATCAGTAATGTGCTGTTTTCAGATTGATGAATTTCCAAATAAAGTAATGATTGAGAGCGCATGCATACCAAAGCTCCTGCTTTTCGTGCCATTCTCTTTGCTCTCATATCAGTTTTCTCAACAAATACTTTCCTACTATTTTGGGAGTCCCTCGCCCTCCGTAACTTCTGATATGGTGCAGCTGCTCTAAGGGTAGCATCAACTGCTAATCTCTTTACAGGGCCCTGCAAAAAATGATGGTACTTGGATACAGTAGCAAGTAGAATTTGTACTTGTATTTGAAACAAACTTTTTTATACAGAGACCTAACTTATCACTCAGGGATGTGAATATAATCAAATTGAAGTATAATGGTTAATGAAGGAAATAAGTACAAACTAATCAAGAAATTTAACTCTGGATTGGAGATATAGGGAGAGCAAAGGCTAGGAAGAAGGGGAAAGGAAAATTAAAAATGAATATATATATATATAATATAAAAACACTTAATGACAATGTGTATAAAAAACTAAAAAAGAATGCCAAGTAGTTAGTCTGATACTACAAACACAAACTTTGAACGCGCTACAGATAACTATTTCCTTAGCCTCATTCTTAATAGAACTTCATAGGCAAGTCTTTCTTACCCTCTGAGAATTTTGTGAAATCTTAATCCATATGAACATTTCAGCCTGTCATAATTGCAAGGGCTTTTATGGTAAAGTATATATTATTTTCTGCTAGAACCTGTAGGATATCCAATGTGTATCTCACTCAATCAATCTATATGCAAGATAGTTCAGGTGGCTGACTGAGTAAACCAAAGATCCCATTCAGATTACCTTTTTCTTCTTACTATTTCATTAGACGGTCATCAAGTCTCTTTGAATGGAACATTGTTGCATAACGATAGAAGGAATAAAGAAAATTGGGAAACAGGAAGAAGAAGAATGAAATAAGAGAAGAAGAGTGAACACAGAAGTGAGGGAGAGAGACGGGAGAGCCAGAGAAAATAGGGGACCACTGTCCGTTAGCCAAATCATATTACATTTAGCCCCTAATCCCTTTATTTATAGCCATTGGCTACCTAACTAACCTGACTACTCTTGTATCTTTTACAAATCAGAAACCACGTGGTAAAGGAAACAATGAAGCAAAAGTTAGTCATAACCAAGAGTGGTAAAGAAACTAAACATATCATGGATGAATTGAGGATGGCGTCAACATTGTGGGCTCCCAAACTCTGTATATTTATTACTAACACAAATATAATTTACTTTACTTTTGTCTGTGCCACGAGGAATTATTTCACAACTTAAAAGATTTTTCTAAATTTCTAATACCTCTAAATAGGCCAAGTTTTTTCAAGATTTTTCTAAATTTTTAATAACTCCAAATAGGCCAAGTTTTTTCAACCTACACCCTACTAATTTCTTAATATTTCATAACGTGAGTATATGACTGAATGGTACTTGTCACGATTTAGAAGCCAATGAGACATACTTGAGCTTATATCTAAAAATATTTACATGTGAGAAGTACCACTACCAACCTTTGGAAGCATTGGCTTAATGTATCGACCTCTATCCTCTGAAAATATGACATTTTTTGCTCTTCCAGCCCTCCCACGTCGTCTCTGTGCTTGTTGGGCAAAAAAGAGAAGTTTTTCATCCGCCAAGCCCCCTTCCGCATCAAAGATAAACTCCTCAGGAATTTGCTCTTGCTGCTGTTCATTCTCTTCATCATTTTCATCCTGTTTGGAGAAAATAGACCAAAATTAAAAAGGCATAGAGATTATAATAGATGTGAAAGCATCATTTTCATGAGGAAAAAAGAGATTTCTTAGAAACCAAAATATGTTATAAACACATTCATATGCACACATTCCTTTTGAAATACAGGAGATACAGTGGACTTGACATAACCAACATTTGGAGTTAAAGGTGAACTATACTATGCATTGACAACAACGGTTCCATACCAAAGAGGAAATTACAGTCAATATGAACATTAACTTGAAATAAAATACAGTTGAACCTCTTGTTCTTCCTCTTCATTCTGCTCCTCCCCAGATTCCTGGTTTTGTGGAGGAGGAGGAGGGGGAGGCGGCTGATTTTGTTGCTCTGGAGGGTTCTCATTAAGAATTGAACGAGGCAGAATTACCAGCTCTACCTGTATCAGAAAATATATGATGCACAAATAATCAGATAGGATGTTTATCAACAAATGATGAACAAAAATGTAGCTTATATTTTATGATCAATAAGATTTTGCAGAGGAAGACTGGTGCTAATAATTTGATTTTTCATTATGAAGAAACTAATCTGATAATGGAACTTAGCACTTGTTTCTGAAATTCAATTCAATCCACGATCCCAAGATATTAGACACTATCTAGAGAAGCACAATTGCTAAGAACTTTTCGTTTGCAAACCTATAAATGGAGCCCTTCATTTTGCTTTAGATGAAATTTATGAACAATTTTTTTTTTTGGGGGGGGGGGGGGGAACCAATGCTCCTTGTCTTGGTATCATGGTGATAAATCCAATCATGGAATACAGAACATTACAGTGGACTCAGTGACATTCAAAGTTAGGTCAACCCATGATTCTATTATATGCATTATCTAGGACACGAACAACTAATTAATACTTTTATACAAATGCAAAAAGGACCGTTCAGCTGTTGTTCTTTACACAGAAAGTTGAATAAAAGAACACCTTAGAATTTTCATTTTTCTATAAGAATTAGATCATATAAATATATATGTATCATGTATCAATTTAAAGCATAAAAGTATTATCGGCCCAATGAAGGAAAGAAATCAGATAAAATGAAGATGTAAAAGGATTAAAGAATAAAATAAATTCTAAAGTATTTATCAAGAGGTTTGAGTTTTTCATGCAACGTCCATAAATAGTACAAGTGGAGACCATAAACAGCTTAGCAAGTACCAAAGAACATTCTCTATAGCCTTACCCTAAAACTTATTGAGATGCAGTGAGCACAAATAGCCATTTTAATGTGGTAATAAGTCCCTGCAATTTGGTCTTTGACTTTACATTCACTTTCTTTTCTTTTTTTTTGGGTCCAGGACGGGCGTCCTCTTATCTTGATGGGGAGTCAGGAGCATTAATCCTTTACAGTTAGGATTGATTATTGTTGGTCAATACATAGAAGGCTGATTAATTGAAAACCCTACAAACTAATGTCTTAGTCCCTTTCGTCAGTCTGCCTTAAACCATTTTTTAGCATCACCACTTATGTTTTAGATAATTAATTTCATTGGAAATCACGTTTAACTCATGACTAGTGTTAAAAACCAAACCAAACCAGTCAGATAATTGATAAACTAGTCACAAGTCCATCCGAAATAATAGCCAAACTACAGAAATATTGAATTGGTGTTGAACCAGTAAAACCGATGGGTCAATTGGCTGAACAGATCATGTATTTTATATATATATATATATATATATATATTATTCATTATAAACTATGATTTATGCATATCTATACCTAATAAGCATTGGAAAAAGAAAAAATGAGCAAATAGGCAAGACATATGCGTGTGCGTGCACACACATGTATTCTAAGATTATAAATTAAAAACAACATACAATATTGAAACCTTGCATCATATAATTATGTATTTTAAATTTTAAAAACATGACAAATTCACTCAATTTTTAAATTATAATTTTACTTCTTATTTTTCCTCACTTTATTTTCTTTTACTTTTAACATATTTTTATTGTTTTCTTTTATTTTTATTATTTATAATAGTTGGTATATATTTAAAAATACATTAATTTAATTAGGACTTATTCAACTACGGTCAAACATTGAACCTTTACTCAATGCCTTGAGCAGTTTGTTCTTCAGTATCTAGCACATGACCATTCTCGGGCTTTACTATCTTCCCCATTTTGAGGCATTAATTCCTTTATTTGTTTGTATTGGTGACCATGCTTTCATGAGCTTAATCTTGTGTTTTGTTGCAAGTCTTTCTCCTGCTCCTTTTCTTTTGTCAGCTGTTCTAGAGCTGGTTTCACTATCTTTCTAGTCTTATTGTCTGCTTTGTTGCATTAAGTTAGGAGGCTAAAAGACTTGCTTTATTGTACCCCATTCTATTGTATAAACTAGGATAAAGCCCAGGAACTCACTAGTCTGATATTTTTATCCAAATTGCACAAGGTATTTGTAGTTAATATGAAAATAATTATTTTCCCTCATTAATAGGCAGATTTTAGGGGATTAGAGTAGATTTAAATCTTCCTGCTATCTCTCCCTATCCCGAATATCTCTCTCTGTATAATCACATCCAAATCTCCTAGATACACCTTAGTCGTATACAAATTCTGTATAACGCCTACAAAATAAAGCAATCAAATTATAAAGTTCATTAAACTTCTAGATGGTGTCAAAGCCCTATTGGTTCTGACCTAATAATTCTCCAAATTCATATTTGCCCGTTCTGTTCCCATACTCGAACGAGTCAACAATGATGGAATCTCTAAAGTCATCCTCCACGTCACACCCATCTAATGTTGCACTTCCTTCAAGTTTGACTGCTAGCAATGACCTATCACCAATCATGATCGTCTCTGAGAAACTTACTGTTACCAGAAAGAGAGAAAAAGGACAAAGTATATTCATTCGACAATTTGAGACTGAGTATGGGTACAGCATATAATCCCCTTTTTCCCGGCCACGTCATCCACACACTCTCTTTCCTCTAACTAACTCACAGGCAGTGCACACCTGAATAGTATTATTTACCGTAGTACCCTCTATAGGAATTAACATATATCAAATACTCCCCCCCTTAGAGAAGATCCTTGTCCACAAGGATGGTGTTGGAAGGAGGTGCCGAGGTGTCAAAGTCTGGGAATTGTTGCTGGATAGCAGAGAGATCTTCCCATGTAGCGTCCTCTGGTTGAGAATATTTCCAGCGCACCAGAACTTGCGTGACAGGAAGGTTATGCCTCTTGACGATTTTCCTCCCTAAGAGCTCCTCAGGTTCCAACATGAAGTGACCATCAGCATCCATTGGAGGAAGGGATGGAGCTAAAGTACCAGAAGGCCCCACATGTTTCTTAAGAAGGGAGACATGAAATACCGGATGCACCCTAGTCTCTGGTGGTAAATTCAATTCATAAGCAACATTCCCTATTCTCTTCAGAACCTTAAATGGTCCAAAATAGCGAGTAGCAAGTTTATGAAGAGAAGAGTTGTTCAGCAATTTCTTCTAAAGGGGTGTAACTTGAGATAAACCATATCTCCCACAGAAAAATGGCATTCAGTTCTGTGTTTATTAGCCTGCTGTATCATTCTATGTTGTGCCTTGAGCAAATGCTGTTTGAGAAGTTGTAGAACCAGCTCACGTGACAAACAAGTTCGATCAACCAACTCATTGGAAGAGTCGCCAGCTATGTAAGGTAAATGCACAGGAGGTGCCACCCCATAAACGGCTTCAAAAGGAGACATACCAATTGCAGAATGATATGTAGTGTTGTACCATAATTCAGCTAAAGGAAGCCATTTGACCCACTGTTTGGGAAAATCGCCAATCATACAACGAAGATAACACTCCAAGCAACGATTGAGGACTTCTGTTTGCCCATCCATTTGAGGATGATATGCAGAAGAATAGTGGAGTTTAACTCCATACAGTTTAAAAAGTTCCTTCCAGAATTTCCCACAAAAAATAGGATCCCCGTCCGAAACAATAGATTTTGGGAACCCATGTAATTTAACAATATTATCCATGAATACCCGGGCCACATCTACTGCTGTGAAGGGATGTTTAAGAGCTACGAAATGGGCTGCCTTAGAGAGCCGGTCCACTACCACCAATATAACAGTTTTAGAGTAAGATTTTGGAAGGCCCCCAATGAAATCCATGGATAATTCAGACCAGATGTGATCAGGGATAGGAAGAGGTTGAAGAAGTCCCGGGGAGGCTATCAATTCTAGTTTGAAACGCTGACACACAGTACATGCACGAACAAAATTACGGACGTCCTTCTCCATTCCTTTCCAATAGAAAAAAGAAGCAAGTCTTTTGAAGGTAGGATGAATGCCAGAATGCCCCCCAATGCTGTCAGCATGAAAAAATTGCAACAATTGAGTCCTAAGCTCACAATCAGACCCCACAACCAGTTTGCCATTGCGCTTAAGTAACTGATGCTGCCAAGTATACTTCGAATGAGTTGCTGGATCTTGTTCCAGTGTTTTAATCAAGTTCTGTAACTTATCATCAGTCAACCAGGAGTCACGGACTCTTTCATAGAGAGGAGAAACAGGAATAGACAAGGCCAAGCAGGAACCCTCGGAGCGTCGAGAGAGGGCATCTGCAGCTACATTGTCACTGCCCTTCCTATATACTATCTCATAGTGCAAGCCCCATAATTTATGGAGCCATTTAAATTGCTCCTGGCTAAGATCCCGCTGCTCCAGTAGATGTTTCAAGGGCAAGTGATCGGTCTTAATAGTGAATTTGCGTCCCCATAAATAGGACCTCCATTGTTTAACAGCAAATATAATTGCAAGGATTTCTCGCTCATAAGCTGAAAGGGGTTTCTTGTTGGAAGGAAGAGCCTTGCTAGCATAAGCCAAAGGGTGGCCATTTTGTGAGAGGATAGCACCTAACCCATAACCTGAGGCATCTGTTTCAATGACAAAAGTATCATCAAAATTGGGTAAAGCAAGGACCGGAGGGGACATCATAGCCTTCTTAAGAGTGTGGAAAGCCTGATTAGCAACCTCTGACCAGGCAAATTTCTCATTTTTCTTCAACAGTTCAGTTAAGGGCCTACAAATGGACCCGTAGTGTCTAATAAAACGCCTATAGTATCCTGTAAGCCCAAGGAAGCCACGTAACTCTCGAATAGAAGTAGGCACTGGCCATGAAGAAATGGCATCCAGCTTACGTGGATCAGCTTGAACACCCTGGGCAGAAATAAGATGACCCAAATAGTGAATTTGCGTGGCAGCAAAGGTGCACTTAGATGATTTAGCGAATAGTTTATGTTGTCGCAAGGTCAGTAGAGTGATTTCCAAGTGCTGTAAGTGAGTGGTCCAATCCTTGCTATACACTAGTATGTCATCAAAGAAAACCAGTATGAACTTGCGCAAGTAGACTTTGAAAACAGAATTCATGAGCCCCTGAAAAGTGGCCGGAGCATTAGTCAACCCAAAAGGCATGACCAAAAATTCATAAAGCCCCTCATGAGTCCTAAAAGCAGTTTTTGGAATATCCTCCTCCCTCATTCGTATCTGATGATACCCAGCCCTTAAATCCAATTTAGAAAAATAGGCAGCCCCTGTCAACTCATCTAATAATTCATCAATAATAGGGATGGGAAATTTATTCTTTACTGTAGCCTCATTCAGTTTCCTGTAATCAACACAGAATCTCCATGTTCCCTCCTTCTTTTGCACCAATACTACTGGGGCTGCAAAAGCACTAGAGCTCTCTCGGATAATGCCATTTTCTAGCATTTGTTGAATCTGATTCTCAATCTCAGTTTTCTGAATGGGTCCGTACCTATAAGGTCGACAACTAATTGGTCTGTCAATGACAAGTGGAATAGAATGATCGAATTTACGGGAAGGAGGCAAGCAATTAGGCTCTTCAAAGACATCAGCAAAATTATCTAAAAGCTGTTGTAGAGCCGACTGTTGCTCTGCAGAGAGTGGAGAGGCTGAATCTAATCCAACTTGCAATTGAGATGGAATATGTATAAGGTAGAGATGGCTGGCCACAACCATTTCCTTAATAGTCATAACTTCTGTTGTCATCTTCTGTTCTGTAGACCCAAGACCTCGTAAGGTAAGTAGTTGACCATTCCATTTGAATTCAAATAATTTTAACTCCATATCCATTGAAAAACGGCCCAAAGTCCTCAGCCACTGAGTTCCCAAAATAGCATCATAACCCCCAATTTTCATCACTAGAAAATCAGAGGTGAAGGACGAACCCCCCATCTCCCAATTCAAATCAGTACATTGTTTAGTGAGGCAAACCTGTCGAGAATCAGCCACGGTGAGTCTGACAGCAGGGCGTTCTTGAATTCTAAGCTTAAGCCGTTTAGCAACAGATGCGTCAACTATATTGTGGGTGCTGCCAGTGTCGATGAGTATAATGATCTGCTGATTTTTTATGCGACCCAGCAATTTCACTGTGGAAGTGTTCTCTCGGCCTTCAATAGCATTAATCGTGCCATCAGCTTCACCTTGTGCATCGCCGATTGCGTCTTCAAAATGGTCCTCGTCTTCATCAATAATGAGAGTAAAAACATGGGAGTCCTTGCAGCGGTGGGTGCTAGTGTAACGCTCAGGGCACCAGTAACATAGCCCTTTGCGTCGCCGATCGTCCATTTCTTTCTTCGAGAGCTGTCTGTCTGGTGGGCTTAGTGTGGGACGCAGCCGATGAATATGGTGCCGGAGAAGAGGCATTGAGCGAGGTCGAAGTGTTGGGTCTAATGGTCAACTGGGCCGAAGGTGGGCCTGCCGCTGAGCCCAACGCTGGAGGAGGACGCGAGCCAACTTCTCCGAAGCGTGCAGCTAATCCCGTCGGCGGAAGAGATGACTTGCGATCACGGCTCAGGGCGTTAGCATGTAGAGCACGGATGGACGCTTCTTGCAGTCGCGCAGAACTCATCGCACTGGCTAAGGTGGGAGGCTCAAAATTAAGAACGAACTGATGAATATCAGGACGTAACCCGCCGATGAATAGTTTAATGGCGATTTCCTCTGGAATATCAACTTCAGATAACAACTCATCAAATTTCTTTTCATATTCAGCGACGAGACCATCAGCTTGTTGAAGCTTTTTAAGAGCAATGAGAGGATGCTCTTCCAGCACGTCCGTAAACTTAAGCTCCATTTGCTTAAAGTAGTCATCCCAGCGGACTTCCGAGAACGAACGGTGGCGCATAAACGTTTGATGCCAACGCAGAGCATGGCCCTCCAGGTGGATGCTTAGAAGACGGAGTCGGTGTTCTAGAGGTGTGGCATCAACTTCGAAGAACTGGAGACAGCGATATGCCCACCCCTTAAAATCAGTACCGTCGAATTTCGGAAACTCCACACGACTCTGTTTAGTGGGAACCGAATAAGAAGAAGCAGAGGCTTGCAGTTCGTGGAAGGAGCCGAAGTTGGTAACACGAGGGGGAGTAATGGGGTGGGAGCTTCGGTCAGGACCGTTAGGATCAGCTGAAGGTTGTTTACCCGAGGAGCACAGGGACGAAATCTTCGTGGACATCTCCTTAATGAGGTCCTTGAGACGAGACGTTGTCTGCTCCAGGCGAGAAGTAGTGAGGCGGAGGTCGTCGATCGACTGGGAGTTGTGATCCAGGCGAGTCGACACTGAGGCAATGGAAGCTTGGTGCAACTCCAGACGGTGTTCTAGATCGCCAATGCGTTCTGAAGATCGCGTGTCCGGCGGTGGCGATATTGGCCGGACAAGAAGCTCTGATACCTTATTGTTACCAAAAAGAGAGAAAAAGGACAAAGTATATTCATTCGACAATTTGAGACTGAGTATGGGTACAGCATATAATCCCCTTTTTCCCGGCCACGTCATCCACACACTCTCTTTCCTCTAACTAACTCACAGGCAGTGCACACCTGAATAGTATTATTTACCGTAGTACCCTCTATAGGAATTAACATATATCACTTACAGGTAGCAACTATCGGGAACAGGCTCAGGCGGTACGCTTGGCCGTTAGCAAGCATAGGAAGCTGGGTTATCTTACCAGTGCATCGAAAGCTCCATCTGACCCCACATCCCCTACTACGACTAAGTGCGTCAGGGAAAACTCCATGGTGTCCTCTTAGTTGATCAACGCCATGTCTCCACATCTCAAACAGAGCTCCACTACGAAGGATATTTGGGAAGTTGTACGAGACTCTTACGCTGATGGTGAAGACCTCTCTCGTCTATATGCTCTTAAAACCAAAATTTGGACTATTAAACAAGGTGCTCGGAGTGTGGCCTTTGGTAAGAACTAGACTTGTGGTCTTCTTCTATTGATGCTGCACTTTACCATCAAGGTGTTGAAAAAGAACGTGTCTTAGTTTCTTGCGGGTGTTAGTCCAAAGTTCGATGATGTTCGCAGCCACATCTTGCGTCGCCCATCCCTTCCTTCTACCCGTGAAGCTTTCTCCGACATTTGGAGGGAGGCAACTCCTCACCAGGTGATGTTACCTAATCCTACTCCTTCTATTTCCAGTATAGCATAGCAAAACCAAGCACATTGATGTTGACCAACACTTCATTCGTGAAAAAGTGGAAGATGGGATTATATGCTTATCCTACATAACCTCAAAACAGCAACTAGCAGACATCCTCCCCAAAGGGCTACTAAAAGATCTTTTTGAAATTTTCATAAGCAAGTGAACATAATTAGTATCTATGACCCAACTTGAGGGGAAGTGTAGTTAATATGAAAATAATTATTTTCCCTCATTAATAGGCAGATTTTGGGGAATTAGAGTAGATTTAAATCTTCCTATTATCTCTCCCTATCCCGAATATCTCTCTCTGTATAATCATATCCAAATCTCCTGGATACAACTCAGATATGTATAAATTCTGTACAGTACATATGAAATAAAGCAATCCGATTATGAAGTTTATTAAACTTCTAGAGTATTATAACCAAACCATGGGCAAACTCTCTTCCATTCAATTCAACCAAGTGGAAGGTATAACTCGTGACAGCCATTAAGACCAGAATGCTCCCTTGAGCATGAGTCAATATTTTACTATTTCACCATCTCAATCTCAATCACCCATTCTTCTCACAATCCCATTCCTTTAGTCATTATGAGATACTAACTAAAGTGACTCTTAGAATTGTCATTTCATTAGGCCATAAAATCCCTAATTCTAATTTTGCAACCAAGATAATCCCTATTGTGTCTATAAATACCAATGTAGTCTGCCTCATTGAACACAATAGAAGAATTCTGATTACTTTGTCTCGGTATCAAAGCATTGAACCAAACTGCAGGATATAAAATTTGAACATACAGCTTTTTTCAGGTCCTCGATGTTAACTTGTTCACGTCCCTCTAAAGCAGCCAAGCACTTTGCAACACGGGCAGCATATAGCTCAGCTCTGTGTCCCTGTAGTCCAAACATAAGTTCAACTGTACGTGAAAGAAATCCACAGAATAAGGCTTTCAAGCTGGCTTGGTCCCTACTAATGCAATGATAAATCACTTGTTACGTATCCTGAATATAGAATATGGATAATGACTAAACAAACAGGTCATAATCTTTTAAGCAGTAAATCAAACTTTCCTTGGTATCATCCTTCTTAAATTACACGTTACAACAGCAGGTCACTAACTTCTGTCTTTGTTATGCTGCCTAGTTTCCATTTAGTGCTCCATCTGCCTCACTCCTCTCCAACTACAGGTTTACCGTTTATGTTATGTGGCAGGCATGAATGTTATGACATTATATATGTATTTCTATATAATTTGCTCAAAGAACCGCCCCGTTAAAGATGCAAAACATAGGACGCATTCTATTCATGCATATACATCATAAAGAGGGGAAGAGGGCATATCTGGAAATGGCATCTTTTCTCACATTGAATATTCTTGCCCAAGAACACTATGCATGAGAAGACGTCTGTTGGGATCCCAAAATTACAAGTGTTTCAAACAAGGGTGTCTCATCCTATACTTAGATGAAGTTTAAATTTCAGAATTACTACTGCAACTAAAACTTGGGAGGACTTTTACATCTGCATAAGTACACAATAATGAAGCATTGGTCAGTTTAATTATCTTTTTTTAATGCAAAGCATTTGTGAGTTTAATAACTTGATAAAACGGAGTAGAACTAGTTTTGCCACAGTTAAAAAGAATAATAAGAGAACAACAAAATGCATGCAATATATTTTAGATTTTAATAGCAGCTATAACTTGAGGTTCTCTGCAGCGGCAGATCATGTGCATCAGAATAAAAGAATCAGTACATATACATGCATGCACAAGTGCACAATGAAATTTATGCAAAGTTGTAGGGTAATAACCTGGCAACCACCTCGTAGAGCTTCCATAACAAGGTACTTTAATTGGTCTCTCCCAATAGTAACATCCTTTAGATACTCTCTAGCCAAAATGATCTGCACCATGAAATATTAACCAAATGAAACGTTTATCAGGTTATTCTGTCCAGCAAGGCTATAACTGAACATAAAATACACCTCAGAAACATCTGAAACAAGAGAAAGCAAGAGAGGAAAAGAATGCACACAGGACTTAGGTTGAAGCACACTTTGCTTGTGGTCCACTACTCTATTACATACAAGATGAGAGGAACAAATTAACAATTTCAGATTTGGATCCCAGCATGCAATATTTATCAAACTCCCTACTATATCATATCCAAGATGAGAGAATCAAATTAACAATTTCAGATTTGGGTCCCAGCATGCAATATTTATCAATGTCATTATGACCTTCCCCATTTGCCTAGTGCACTACTTCTGTCATGCCATATACAAGTGAAAATCTCTCCTACTTGGGTAGACAAGAACTCTAAAGGGTGTTTACACCTAATAATGAAAACAGATAAGTCCTAACTTTCTTCTCTTCATTTTACCTCCCAAAGGAAGAGGTACCTGAGTTTTTGCATTTTCTGTTTCTTCTTCTACCATTTTAAATATCTCATTACTGTTTTCCTGAAACTGTGTAGCAATCCCAACAGCTGCAACACGGTCTTCAAAGCTCATTGGAAGACTTGCACTGCAGAGAGGTTCACAATTTCGAATAAGAAAGATAATCAATTATTTTATAACTCATTATATTAGCAAGACATAAGGCCATTACTTCAAGTTAATTGCAATGCGATCTAGTAAATGTTCCCGCACATCACCCTCTTCTGGGTTGTAAGTGGCAATCAAAAGTGGCCTGCACGGGTGTCGGAAACTTACTCCCTCTCTTTCAACAGCATTAACTCCTTCAGTCAATGCATTGAGGAGCAAATTACTAATACCCTCGTCCAAAAGATTAATTTCATCAACGTATAAAACACCTCTATGAGCTTCTGCCAACAGGCCAGGTTGGAAAACGGTTGTTCCTGTTTTCACAGACTCCTCAACATCAACTGATCCAATGAGTCTGTCTTCTGTGACTCCAAGAGGAATCTGCAGCATGAATGAATCATGGATTTCATTTTAGGAAAAGAAGAATTTCATTAGTGATAAGAACAAGAAGAAAAGTCTTTGAATTTTTATCTATTATTTGCAATTGCAGTGGAAGGCTTCTTCCCAGAATAGTACCTGAACAAAGGGAGACTTGACAATCTGAGTTTTAATATTACCAGCAGAATCATATTCCACACGTTGAGAAAGTCCATTTTCCCATCTACAATTAGTAACCTCTTCATTAGCATCACATGCTTTCTAAACAATTTTTTGGTAACTTGGAAAATAAAAAAATGTTAGATTTACACAAAAAGTTAAAAATAGATTGAAAAAAAAAAACAAATTGAATTGCCAGTCAGGTCACGTATGCTTTAATCTCACCCAAAACTAAAAATTCTATCAAGATTTTCCAAAATACTCAGTCAGTATTGAATTGTCCACCCTAAACAAGTCATTGAGGTTCTTTCTGGCCACAATATCAACCTTTCTGAGGCCGATTTGAAACACATTAATTTTCAAGAAAGGATTGCAGGAGAATCAGCTTGGATTGCAAGCTGGGTTTCTATCTTGGAACTAACTTATTTGGGAGTCTCTTTGGGTAGGCAGGGCCATATCAGCTGCTTCATCTTTTTACGACCTTGGACTACAAAAGACTATGAAAAGACTTGAGAAATGGAAACTGATTAGCTTCCTCTAAGTGGGAAAGTCAATTTTTAACAAGTGCCCTTGTATAATAAGATGGAGAATATATGTAGGATTTCATGCAATGGAGATTTGAACAACTCTCCTTGGATTTCTCTCTCTCTCTCTCAAGATGTATGTACACCAGCGGTCTTACTCTTCTGGGTAGGATGGATCTGCATTTGCTATTGATCCAGCTACTACTTCAATGGGCGGTAGTATTGCGTGCAATCCACGTGCCATTACAGTTTTGGCAGTTCCTCGCCTTCCTGATATGGCAATACCTCCAATCCCACGGTCAATGGCTCCAAGCAAAAGAGCAGTCTTTATAGCATCCTGCAAACTTATTGGAATTAGTAGATTTCATTCTTCAAGAAAATAATAATTGATGTCAAAGAGAAGACAGGAATAGCACAATACTTATGTATTGATAATTAAACTTGAATTTATAACAAAAAATAATTAAACTCAAATATCATGCTTATATCATATCAATGTTTGATAGATTAATCATGTTTATTAGAAGTTATAAGGATTTTAGGTGTGATGAAAATAACAAACAGGGAAAAAAAGAAAAAACAATCCAATATCTGAATAATTACCACTAAAACTTTTTTCTCCCCCCGCCCCCAACTATTATTTCCTACAAAAAAATTTTTTTTTTTTGGGGAAAATCATACAGCTAGATACCATTTGATGCACCATGTATCTCTTAAAAAAATACAACTTATAAGAGTATGAGATTCAAGCGGTCGAGTAACAAAACGACTAAAGGGAAATAACATAACAAGTGAGAGCAGGAAAAGCTGTTAGTTGAAGAGTAACAGATTCAATGAGAGTTCTTAGGAAATTAGAGCCAGCAGAAAGTAGGAGGATACTATATAGATGTATTATGATCAATGTACTAGTGGATTGAAATAATAGACACTTTAGACAATTTCTTGATACCAAGGAACTCTTAAAAAGAACGCGTTTTATTAGAATCAATAAGCATAAACTATTTTCCCGAATAAAACATGCAAATTATGAACCGACACTTACAAAAAAAATTTCAAGTAAGCACACAACAGATAAAGAATCAAATCTAATACTTGGCCCACAACAGCAGCGAGGGGGAAGTACTGTTTTCCATAAGTGCTATCTGGCTTCTCAGAGGTCATTACAGCTCCATTACCAGATTCAACAACTGAATTCGACAAAGCATTGATGAATGACGAATGTTTTCTATTTCGTTTAGGTCTGAGAGGAGCAAAACATGAAGAGAAATTCGGATGCGCTCTAAATGTGACAAGCAGAGAAAAGGATTGAAGGTGAGGGAAGTTCACACAAGTCGAAGTGAAAGTGAAAGCCATTTCAGGGTCAGAGGACCATGGGAGGGTCAGGTTCTTCTTTTCTTATCCGTTGCTGGATTTCAAAGATCAGCAAGGAACATTGTCGCCTACTCGGCTCCCAAATTCTCACATATTGCTGGCCGAAGAAATTGTCCCGCATCCGGGGTATAGCACATTCACGCGCGAAATAGGCGCGTACAGCACAAGCCATGACAAAGGAAGAACGGCTCACCATCGAAGGATAAGGGTGTGCGATATTTTTAATATTTACAAATTTTTTGATTCCTATAATAGTATTTGTCAGGCCAAAATGATTGGTTTTAAATTTTAAAGATCAAAACCAAAAATAAAATCAAGTTTTAGAAATTAAAGATAATATTATAACTGGAGGTGAGCAAAACCAAACCGAAACCAAAAACTGAACCGAACCGAACCCAATTCGATTTTTTCCGTTCAGTTTTTTCATTTTTTTCAGTTTTTATTGGTTTTTATTTTCAGTTATTTTCGGTGTTCGATTTTTGGTTCGGTATGTATAAAAAAATTTTGGTTTAAACCGAATAACCGAAATAATTCAAAACGATATTGTATTTGCATAAGATGTTGCTCCCCAATCCTCATATTGTGCGGTGCGTGCAATGGAAAGAGATAGGCTTGTCTTCTTTGCTTTGGGCTTGGGCCCTCTTTGCAAACCCAAAAAAAAAAAAAAGATAATGAGAGCTTCATGAGAAAAAATTGACGGACATTTTTTGACCAATGAATGGACATGGACCGTGGACGGATGGGTCATGAACGGATTCATAAAATTGAAATAAGAACTTTTTTAAAATAATTCTTTTTGACTTGGTTTTTTAAAATAATTGAAAGTTCACAAAATTGAAAATCCCCAATTCATTCGATCAGATCAAGAAACTCAGCCCTAACCCTTCTCTGATTTCTGAGTCATTCTCAAGTCTCCACCCTCGGTCTCTCACCTCCTCACACCTTCTCCGTTCGATAGACTACACTGAACCCTTATCTCCTCACCTTCTGTTCACGTTGTGCTCTCTTCGCCGTTCAGTCCTGTCTTCCGTTTAGTCAAGGTTGAGCTTCTTTAGTTCCTATTCAGTCTTGTTGTCCAGTGTTCAATCAAGGTTGAGCATCTCCACTCGATCTACTACTCCATTCTAGTAAGTAAACTTGTATATTACTCACAGATTAAAGATTTTATTATTGTTCTTTATGATTTTACAGTTGTGACTCTGTCGACACTTCTTGTGGCTTTGTCTTTTTTTTTTTTAATGAAAGGTATGTATATATTAATCGAAATCATATAACTTTACAAAAGCCGAATAGATTTCCTTTTTGTAGCAAGGTTATCCTCCTTGTAATGATTCCTTTATTTGGAGTTCAAACATTTTTTTTATGCCCAAAATAATAGGAAATACTATGTCAAATTTGTCTTGAGCTTCAATTTTTCCAGTGGACAGGTTTGCAACAAAAAGGCCCAATAAAAGCGCCCAATAACCGAACAGTACCGAATAATCGAACCGAAATAATTTGGTTTGTTCGATTCGATTATTTAATGCATTTCGGTTTCAGTTCAGTCTTTAAAATATACAATGTTTGGTTTTTCAGTTTTTTTGATGTTCACCGAAAACCGTTTGCTCACCCCTAATTATGCTCACCCCTAATTATAACCGTTGTTATATTTAATAAAAAGGTTTTTGAGTTTCAAATTAACAATTATCATGTAATAATTCTTAATAAACTAGTAAGAAGTCTGAGATAGAAAAAATTAAATATAAACATATTTTGAAAATGAGTTAAGGTGTAAATTTATTTAGAAAGGTTTTACTCAAAAGTGCTAAGCACTTGAGAGCTTTTTTAGGTGTAAATTTTTCTCAAAAATTTAAAATCACAGCAATATTGTCTATTAGGTATTATTTGGTATGAGGAAAATAGAGGGGAGAGAAGGGGAAGCAAAATTTTAAAGAGCTCTATTTTAAAAATTAGAGAAGTAGAGTTTTAAAATTTTAATAAAGAGAAAAAATAATATAAAGGAATAATAAAAATTAATTAAAAAATTTTAACCCTACTTCTTTAATTTTTTAAATTGAGCTTATTAAAATTTTCCTCCCTCCCCTCCTCTCATTTTCCCTCATACCAAACGGACTTAGCGTCAAAAATATTAACAATCGATATCACTATTTTAACAATTAATGTTAATTTTTCAATAATAAGGAGCAGTATTGCTACAATTTTAAATTTCAAAAGCAAATTCACACCTAAAAAAATTTCCAACTGTTCAATGTTCCTAAATGAAAATTTATGAGGCAAGTTTGGATTATAAGCCTTTACAAATTTCATGTTTATAAGCTTTTTTTAAGAAAAAGCAAAAATTAATGTTTATAAGTCAAGTTTGCGTTAATACAAGCCTAAAATATCAATATTTATATATTAAATTTACTATATGAAGTTCAAAGGTCATCATGTCATGTCACTATCTATTAAACTCCAAACTCAACTCTTCTTGTCCATCATTTTCTTGGAAAGTTGCTATCTTCCTCCTCCTAATCATGGTGAAGCGCTAGAGGATAACCCCGATGGGTCCTCCTATTCCTCTCCCTCTTGAGTTACTCAACAAAGTAGCAAATATTGAACATCACATCTGAAGGATTGCCTCTTATATGTAAATGCTTAACAACGAGCTTAACCTCATACTCTATGCACAAGACGTCAAGAATGACTTGATAGAGGATCTTTCTTCTTCCTCCTCCTTTCCCACTTACCCTCTCCCTAGTCTTCCTTCTCCTCCTTCAAAAATTTGCAGTACCTATTTAAGCTACCATAATTATTTCTAGAATTGAATCCTGATTAGCTCATTATTTAGCCATTAAAATACTAGAATTAAATTCCTATATTGTAGTGGAGTCAACTTTGGTCCCCACCTTTTAGAAATTCCAATTAATGAAGGTATGATACCAATTACGAAGACAAAATAGTGATTTAAAGTCTCTATTTCTAATTGCTACACTTATATTTATTTATAGTTTTTTGGTTATGTATATGAGACGTAAATGCAAGTGTATGAATGTGATTATATGCAATGAGATCCTCCTAAGAGTTATGACTTCTCCATCATTGCCAAATAAATTTAAGGAGTTATAAGTGTTCAGATAGGAATATGCATTGGATCAACAATAGATAAACCAAAAATCCTTAAGATATTATCAACCAAAAAATATCATGAATTAATCAAAACAACTACAACACCAAGTCTACTAGAATTGGAGATACAATCAGATCTACTCAAAATCAAAGGATACATTAACCGATTACTACAATCTAATTTAGTTACTATAAGAAAATGGGTCAGTCCACTCTTGGTGGATTGGACCCAAATTTATTAAGCTTTGGGGTTCTGATGTAAATTGCAAAACTTGTGGGTCCTGACTGTAATTTTTGCCTTTTTATATGATTTGCAAAAAGGAGAGAACAGTTAATTAACTTGATTAATTATGGTTTAGTGATAGCTAAGATTAATCATGTTATTTGATTAAAGATTAATAAGTAATTAAGGTTAGTTACCTTGATTAATTAATGACTAGTGATTAGTTATGTTAATTAAAGGATGATTAATTATGATTAATCATGTTGATTAAGGAATGATTAAGGGTTAATCATGTTGATTAGAGAATGATTAATGGTTAATCCATAAGGGATTAGTGACTTAATCTTAGAGGATTATGTTGTATTAATGACTATGTGACTTGAGGACCTTAATTAAATATTGGATTAAGGATTAAGGGTTAGTGATTAACCAAGAAAGCATGATTAATCATAGATTAAGGAAGAATTCCAAGACCTTAATTGAGGATTAAGGCTTGGTCAAACCAAAGTCAAAGGATTAGGAAAGGTATACAGAAGTTATAAATTGAAAGGCACAAGGATAGTATTTTATTGAGAAAGAATTGTATACTGGATATGGAATTTACCATACCCTTACTGTATGGTTGATAGGCAATTTTCTGGAAACCTAGGAGGACCTCAAGCAAAGAAAACAAGGAGGAAACATTGAGCGTGGAACCGAGGTAGCGTGAACTTACAATTATTCTGTTGACTTGCATTTGGTGTTTCTGCTATATGTGTTTATGTGCCATGAGAATGTTTATGCACTGATGATGTGAACTCCTTGCAATGTATGCCTTGGCTCTTACATGATTGAGTTTTGACTGGGATGATTATATGCTCCATGATGATGACATGGATACAGAATGGTTATGGCATGGCATAATGACTAGCAATGTTATTTTACTGCATGTAGTATGACATCCTATGCATGTTAACTTGATGGTTGTATGTTCAATGCTACTGGAATTTCTATGAAATCTCATTCCTCCTATAACATGATATCCTAAGTGCCACTACCTCCAAGGCGAAGAGAAAAGAAGTAATCATGGCTTGAGGAAATTATGATCTATGTATTGTATTATATGGATTTAAACCTTTCTTTTCCAAGCCATGTAAGCATATTCTGAGCATGAACACATGACATGATAACCTTTTTGGATGTATATTAATGGTAGAGTAGCTTTATATGTGATTATGGTTTGCTTATGGTGAAAAACGAAATAGTGCTAGAATTAGTGAAAAGGGGAGATAAAAAATGGTCTCAATTTGACCAAACTTTGACCAATTAAGACCCTGGTCAAATGGTTGAATTTTCCCCTGAAATTTGGCATGCAAATAGATCTTATTTTTCCCTTTAAAATGAGTGGTAAAGCATCAAAATTGGAGCTTTGTGCAAGAAGTTATGCCTTTCCAAAATTAGGCAAAAATCCTGGAAAATAGAAAAATGACCAAATGAACAGTACTTTTTGAAATTAAAATTGGATGCGTTTCTGATTAAATTGGAACCTGAGGTCATTTTTCCTTAATAGATGATGTTAAGAGCTTCGAGTGAGACTTGGAACGACCTTATTTCAATTTTTCTAGAATTAGTTGTGATTTTTCAAAGTTATATCAAGTTTAAGGTTACAGTGAATAGTAACGCGGGAGAAGAAATTTTCAAACTCAGATTTTTCAACCCAGTAACCTGTAAATGCGCTTCCGAATATCTTAACTTGGCAAAATATAAGGATGCAAACGTAAGGTGTTA